ATATATATATATATATATATATATATATAGCTGTGCAGCTAAGCTTGGCGATACATCTCAGCTGCCTGTACACTCCAAGCTGCCTATACAGCCCATTATATCTATTTTTGTACACAAAACAAATCTTTAAAATGTTTTTAATCGATTGCAATCATGCATCGCCAACTCAAGCTTCTAGGGTTTAGGCTTTATTATATCGCATCTTGTCACGGTTTAGGGTTTAGGGTTTAGGGTTTGTGCTACCTTGTACGATGTAGGGTTTATAGTAGATCTTTTTGTGCAGGGTTAGGTGGGATCCCTAGGGTTTAGGGTTTAGGGTTTAGGGTTTATATGCAGCACTTTAGGGTTTGGGGTTTACCAAGGGTTTGTTTTGAGGGTCTTTCTCACTGTGCAAGGTTCAATAGATGCCTGCCTTTCAGTCTAGGGTTTAGGGTTTAGGGTTTAGGGTTTACGAAGTTTACGCCACAGGTTAGCTAGCGCTCGCCCGCAGGTGAATGCAGCTCGCTGAAGGAGACGAAGGCAGCTGTTGCTGCTGCTGCTGCAGCAGCAGCAGCAGCAAGCAAGTAACCATACTAAACCCTAAACCCTAAACCCTAAACCCTAATTGGGTGGTCTGGTCTCTGTTGCTGTTGCTGCAGCGTCGCCTTTACAGGTTTATTTTACGCAAATGTTTATTAATAGAAATTAATTTTATATTTTATTTACAAAATAATAATAAAATAAATCTACACAGCAGAAACTGTACCTCAAACTCTTTGACTGCCCTGCTGCTGCTGCAGCAGCAGAGACAGCCCTGTGGGGCTACTATCATCTCCAAGCAGCAGCAGCAGTAGCAGCAGCAGCAGGAGCAGCAGCAGAAGCAGCAACAGCAGATTATTTGCTATATACACAACAGCAATAAAAGCAACAGCAACAGCAGCAGCAGCAGCAGCAACAGCAACAACAGCAACAGCAGCAGCAGCACGTGAAGTGACCTCGGGGTCGAAGGGCCCCAGAGTAGAAAATGAAAGGAGACAGTGAGGCAGAGCAGCAGCAACAGCAGCAGCAGCAGCAACAGCAGCAGCAGCAGCAACAACAACAACAACAACAACAACAACAGCAGCAGCAACGGCAGCAGGGGAGGCCGGAAGACGCCCAGCAGCAGGAGCAGCAGCAGCAGCAAGATGCCGCAACTGAACAGCAGCAGCAAACGAGTTCAGAGCTGCAGCAGCTTCACTCACCGCAGCAGCAGCAACAGCAGCAACAGCAACACGCGCAGCAGCACTTGCAGCAGGACCAGCAGCAGGGGGAGCAGCAGCTGCTTGTGCTGCAGAAACAGCAGGGCGGAGTGCAGCAGCAAGAGCAGCAAGACCAGCAGCAGAAACAGCAGCAGCAGCAACAGCAGCAGCAGCAACAACAGAATCCAGGTGAGACAACACAAAGGCGTCCTCTTCATAGTGGCTGCTGCTCAAAGGCCCCAGCAGCAGCAGAGGCAGCAGCAACAACCCAAGCAGAAGCAGCACAAGCAGCAGCAGCAGCAACAACAACAGCAGCAATAGAAGCAGCAAGACAAGCAGCAGCAGCACAAGCAACGCCAGCACAAGCAGCAGCAGCACTTCACGGTTCAGAAGCAGCACAACCCATCATTACTGCCGCTCAAGAGGCAGCAGCAGCAGCAGCAGCAGCAGAAGCAGCAGCAGCGGCAAGCGATGGAGCAGCATCAGAAGATGAAGAGGAAGAAGCCGACCCCACAGAAGAGGCAGCAGCAGCAGCAGCAGCGGATGCTGCTGCTGCTGCTGCTGCTGCACATGGAAGACTTGACCTTTTGAGTTCGACACGATTGACAGTAGTAAACCCTAAACCCTAAACCCTAAACCCTAAACCCTAAGCCCCTGAATGCGGTCCCCCAAGTTGTAGACTCCTAGCCCTAAATCCTCAACTCTAAACCCTAAACCCTAAACCCTAATCCGTGAGTTACAGCGCTCAATCAGGCGCCCTCCAAGACATCAATGTTACCTGCAGGGTTTCATATCGAGGGTTTAGGGTTTAGGGTTTAGGGTTTAGGGTTTGGGGTTTTGCAGGAGTTGTCTCTTAAAAATGCAAG